GGTTCGGTGCCACCTCTGTCCTATCTGACCTCCCGTTCGCCAACTAAACCTAACCTATATTTTGATATTTCTTTCCCAACTGCCCTGAGCGAACCTGCCCTATACAAACTTCTTACATTCCACGCACCAAATCTCATGTCCGTTTTCCTTAGCTCATATTGTTAGGTAGTTCATGAAAAGAATCCGTCCTAGTCCGAGGCCCTCTGTGACATTTCGTAACAAGCTTATTTTTAGCGATGACCTGTTAGACCGACGCCCAACCCCCAAGCTGGAGGACCATCCCTTGTCGGCTGTCCGCTACTGCTTATTCAATATATTCGCAGCCACCCTCCATATCTGGGGGCCGTCTCCTCTCTCCACAGCCTGAGGTCCCGCCGTGGTGACAAGGAAACCACAAAACATGGGCTGGTACACATACTAAGGTTTTCAACGTCGGTGCCAGGTGATGACGTGCTCAGCTTTAGGCACCATCTGATTTACCCCCAGGTAAAGAGAGCCCGGTACTAATTGGATTGGAGACTGGGTATGTCACGAAATCAGAACTGAACTTGTGGTAATGAATAAGCTCCGTGCCTCTGATGGGAAACGAACCTCTGTGTTTCAGTCCTGGGGGCAAACTGGGACTAAACTGAGCTAAAAATATTCCTGTATGTCACCAAATGTTTTTTTTAATTATACGTACAAATGTTCAAAAAGTCTTCTTTAGTTAAGACCTGTGTAACATAAAACCCTGTTAGACTTTTGCAGTGTAAGCAACATCCGCTTGCATAAGATACAGGAGGATATTGTCCCTGTGCCTGTCACATCATGCAAGCATGAAGAGGGAGCATGAAGGCGCTCCGTGCATTAACCTCTGAAGTCTTCGTCTTCATGCTCCAAATGCTGTAACTCCGGCTGGATGGGCCCCGGAGCTGGTCTCAACGTGATAAAATCACACAGAGAACCGAACCCCAACCCACAGCAAGTCACTTCACTGGTTAGGCCAAGCCATTTCACTGTTCATGCATGTAACTCCACAGTCCCTGCTCACGCAATACAGTTATATACTATAACTGTATCTCCTTAATGGAAATGGAGAAGCAATGGATCTCTTTCAGTGACCCCTGTACACCGTAACACAGGCTTCACTTCTACATATGCAGTCAGCACCACTACGCGTTCCCGTGTCTAAATGCCCATCACCATCAGATTGCACTAACACTACAAAAATTTCCATATGGCTTGTGGCAGAGAGTGAGAGTGTGAGAGTGGCGCGCGCGCGTGTGTATGTGTGTAAATAATGTTTCAAGGATCAATCTCATAACTTCACAAAAGAAGAAGTTCTGGGAAGAACTAATCGCCCACTTTCCTTTGATATGACATGGATCGCATAGAAAACGATGTCTTCAACAATTCTTCGTTACCGCGGGAACGGGTTTACCAAGCCGTTGCCTAGAAATGAAAGGAGGAATACACTTTACCGAGCCTTTGCCTAGCAACGATATATATGGGATACACATACAGACTGATGGGAGCAATTTATGAAATACGCGGCTGACATGGGCTCAGGTGCCATCATACAAATACTAAGTTTCATAAAGATTGGTTCAAGCTGATAGGGAGGGATTCACAGACACACAGACGGCGTGGTGATCTCATAAGTCTACTTTCATTTTAAAAAATGTAAGCAAGCTCGTATTACGGTTAAACCATCATTTCATGTATACCTATGCGAGACGCAAACAAATCCCATATAGTTACGTATTTACATCAAGTCAATGCACCAGACGTGAAGCCATACTTGCTCCTCAACTCCTACTGTTAAATGAATGCAAGTTAAAATCCTTATCACTAGACGGTCTTCCATATGTTCTCATTTATGGCCCCGACCGCAATTCTATATTTTTATGGAAATGTTTGGTTTACTAAAAAATACTTGCCACTGGTCTTCCCTTCCACACAGATTTTCAAGTGAACCACCCCAGCAGACATCCACACTTGTCGAAAGCCTCAAAATAGTCGTCTCTTTATATTTACACAAAAGACAGACAAAAATACGAGAGTCAAAAGCAAGAGAAACGTTCAGGACTTAGAAAGTTACAACTTTAATACAAGAAACAACATTACAAAAGGAAATGTCTCCAAATATTTATATATTTCTCAAAGTATTAATAAGAATGCAATACCACATATGAATCTACTAATGAAATTTGAGGTTTCCACAGCAGGGACTACGAAAAGTAGAGGTTTTCTGGGTGCGACGCCGTGTAATCTGGACGACAGTTACAAATGTTTCGAATGAATCTACTTCCTCCATCTTCAAAAGGTTCCTATAAAGCACAACAATATACCAGATTCTATAACATCACAATCTAGAAGTCCATAAGTTTCCCCCAGCAATAGCTTTCAAGATTCTTAATCCTAACATCTTGATTTATTACATGTTTAAACATAACAGAATAACAAAAGAACTATCTTTCAAATACCCCCCAAAAAAATCATGTACTGCAGACTGTAAAATTGCCAGTTCTCTCTATTATATGTATTTCGCTTACATAAGTGTGTTAACTCCTACACAAATTTGATACAACTGTTTTACTTAAATGAAAACTTTGTGCATGTTGTGCATGATAAACAACAAACAACCAGTAATACAATGTATTAACACATACATCAACTTAAATATCTGCATCAGCTACCATATAAAAATTGTTACGGAATATCTGTTAACTATATTGCTTGTACCCCATTTAAATGTGTACATTCTGGTGTGTATTTTGGATAAACACACTAAAACATGTACTGAGACATTATGTATAGGGTTGGAAACCGTGCAACATGAACTATATTGCCTAACAATAACGTAAATACAAATATCACCTGATGGTGGTCAAAATGGGTTGAAAAACACAGCAGAATAGGCCACATTTATAGGACAAAGTTTGTGTAATATCTATACAGAGTTAACAATCACAGACACAAACAGATGTATCAATGCAAGATTAAAAACATAAAATTTAAGTAATTTGCTTAACATAGGGTAAAAACAAAAATATGGTTTATCTGCTAAAGGTGATAGGCATGGTTATGTAACTGTGCTGTTTATCATACAAGGCTCAACAACCAACTCGCTCACTCCCTGCCAGCCTTACACTCTGTGGGCAAAATTCATTCTTCCTCCACGTTTGAGCAGGCGACGGCAACCATTGTGCATTAAGGGCTCACACAACAATCAAACTCCCATGTAGCAAGTCTCTGTTGAGAAGAGGAGCTGATAGTTCCTCAGCTGCTGGAAGAATTCTCAATTCTCTACAGCACCCACCAAGCTTCATGATATTCACAAATGCCAAGCACAGGACTCGATCCTGAGCCATCTCAAACCAATCCACACCTCGCACCCTTGTTCTTGAACACCCACTGAATTACAGCCCTTTCTTTGCTCTCTTTTACCTCCAAATTTCCCAACTAAAATGTTACAGGCACATTTCACATCCCTATTTGTGATACATGGTAAGAAGATTCTATCTCCCCAATTAATGCTACATGCCCCACCCATCTCGTCTTCCCCGATTTCTAACAACAACTGTTACTGCATAGTACAAATTATAAACTTACGACCCCATTATCAAACACCCTCCAATATATGTAGTTCTCTCACGAAGTTCCACACGAATCAACAGGTAAAATTAATCTTAAATTTCTTCGGCCGAAGACGGAAAGACAAAAAGATTCTCAGTTTGTTGGTACCAAAGCATTCGCTCAGTTTCTTAACGTTAATTCCCAACTTATTATCTGGTGTAGCGACTGGCTACGGGCTGCATGATCGAGGTGTGAGAGTTCGAGTTGCTCACACCGGCTCTGGGGCCCATCCACCCTCCTATCCTCCAACTAGTGTCGAGGTTAAGAAAATATGGAGCTATACATCCACTCGCCCATACGCCTTTATGACGCAGTACTTAATTAGCTAAGCACAGGGACAACTTTATCGTTTTTTAATTATCTGGTACATCAAATGCCCCGTTTCCAAGACTTATAAGTTATATAATATGTTACCACATTCACCATCGTTTAATCGTGGCTTCGATATCGCACTACACGTAGTGTGTAACCATTCCTTCTTCTACCCTTCCGTCCCGAGCTTTGTTTTGCAATAGTTATAAAACTACAAACATTCTTGCCTAAGCCAGCTTTCACTACAGTAAGAATCAAATATGGGACAGTGGGCCATGTTACTGAAGACCTGAATATAGGAGCAAAACGACGGAATTTCGTATCAGGAGTACATAATCCATAATTTGAATAGTACATATTTGTAACGTTAATAAACGGGAAACGTTGAGTATGGACACGATAACCATGCTAGTTCTAGGAAATAAGCTGTAAATTAGCGGTCAGACATACGTATTGTTCGTACAACCCACTGCCAACCTAATTATGCACCACAATTAACGTATTATATACATATAAATAAAATGATCACATATTATTGGCAGACATATTGCACTGTAAGCCATCAGCAAAGCTACAAAGAAGGCTGCGCGATCCCCAATCAAATACAGCTCTCTCTATAAGCAGCACCCAGCTGTAACACATGGCCACCTCCCAGCTGATTGAAGCAGCAATAACAACAACAAAGAGACTGATTCAAATACGAGCATTTACGACATGATAATCACACATCTGCATCTACAGACTTTATAAAACAATACTGCACCACCCCTACAACGAACTCAAACGTATATAAAAGTACTATTATTAAACACGGAATGAAAACACATTTCTGCGCAAGATGACAAGTTACATGATCCTCAGTCCAAAAGCCTCAAATTATGTCACACTGCACATTGTTACGTCTCAAAATGGAAACGATAATATGTTTTCTTCGAAATGTTATTAAAATCTACAGCAACAACGATGTGTTCAATATTAATTACATAAATAAAATGTAAACATGCAAGATGGCTGAACCACTGTCACAACACAAAGAAACAAAGAACCATGTTAAATTAAAATACACTAACCTCCATAAGCACTTTCTTCTATATTAAGTGATCCTGTGTAGTCTTAAGAACATAAAAATCTCAATTCAAGCGTTAAACACTTTAAAATGGCTACAAAATCACTAAAAACGTTACACGGAACTCACTACGCATCTCTCCAACATAATAGTCTGGTTCGATTTATTTTGCATCGTCTGCGAGCTAAGGTTTCTGCGCAGCTGTTTATGCGCATTGGTTGTACAGTCTGTTCAAGAACCATGGACGTTCATAACTTCAATGCACAAGAGCATATAACTTTCTAGAAGGTTATCAGAGCAGTATTGCTAGCAAAATTATCGCTAATCTATATTTTATAGACGTGTACATAATAATTTGGAAAGTAATGTAAAGTTATTTCGTGGAATCACTGCATGTATACTACGTGTCAGCCAACAGACTTCTGGAGATGAATGTAGCATGTATGGTAACAGTACCGATGCGGTGGAGGATCTAGTATCGCCAGTCCTTTTGTTTGAGCTCAAGAAAAAATGTCTAGTAATCTTATTTGATAACAGGTTTCCCCATGGGTTCAGAACTACGACTTCCTTAAAGGTGGAACACGGTACGGTCATCGCAACACGAAAGAACATGGGTGTTTATTATTTTAGCTAAGAATATCTTCTGTGGCGTCTTCCTGCACGCACTAGAACGGACAAGTTCTCAGGGCGATGACTACGAACTTGGTTTGTAACGCGAAGTAGTTCTGAGAGAGCCCAGCATTTCTGAGGAACATATCGCCTCCATCTTCAGGGTGGAAGAGTAAGCCAAGCAAGAAGCCAGCCGATGTAGGCGGCATACCGAGAGCTCACCTGTGTAAATACAGCTACGATGACTAACCCTTTATGTTCGGGATGCTATCATTTCTTGGAAACATACGCTTTGTGAAGGGAATCACATAACGAATTGCGGGATTCCAGGAAAATTCAGCGCTGCTTCCTTAATGAAGAGAAACTGCAGTAACTGCATAATACAGCTTCTCTTGGAGCCAAATATGCCTATAATTGTTATAAAACCGTTAGAATACATATGCTAAAGTACTGTCGGTGTAGCGACTGGCTACGGGCTGGACGCCAGAGGGGTCTGAGTTCGAGTCCAGGTAGGGTCAAAAATTTTCTCTTCTCCATGTCGTCCAGACCGTCTCTGTGGCTCACCCAGCCTCCTATCTAATGGATACTGGGGGCTTTTCACCGAGGGTAAAGCGGCCGGGGCATGAAGCTGACATCTTATCTCTAGCTAGTTCCGAAGTCAAGAAAGTGTGGATCTATACATCCACTCGCCCATATGCTTTCATGGCGTAGTGTTTAATTAGTTAAGCACAAGGGACAATCTAACCTTGCCTTACTATCAAAAATAGAATAGAAATAGATGTAAATTGAAAATAGATTGAAATATAGTACCAAATATTAATTACCACAAATTAAAGCATTTAAACGAAATATCCTTCTATTATGAGTTCTCTAGGGCGATCGGTAAAAATAGTCTTATGTGGCTGATACGTAGGTTTTGTTAACAAATTTTCTGACTCGCCCCCATCACCCGGAAAGAAATTCCGAAGTTCCCCGCTCAAGTATAGAACACGAGGGCGATTCCTGGCATCTGGCGAAAATACGCATCTCCTGGTATGTACTGTGTTTGCACTGAAACAGACTTCCGTTCAAGTTCAAGAGTTTGCCGCCTTTTTTTTTCTTTGGACGGTATGACCCCCCCCCCCGGAATCAGAGAGTTTCGGCGCAGTTGCCGCGTTACTTTCTTTAACGTGTCATCGTCTTTAAAGTCAGAGAAAGTGGTTTCGATTTGTAAACCCAATCCGTTACGGCAGTCAAAAATGTGGACTGCCAGACCAGCCATACTAAGGTTTACAGGCAAAGACCATCAGGAGAGCATAAGGGACTCTGAACGGGGCTGGCCTCATCGGTCAACTCAGATGCCGTTATCAGTAGAACGTCCGGTGTATTTTGCAGAGTCCATCGAGATAAGCACTGTGGGGTGAGTGTGTGTGGGTTATAGCAGGACGGATCTTAGGGGGCATCACCCTCAGGGCCTTCCGTAATGAAGCTGCAACCACTACCCCACTACTTCTTGCGATATTTCTTAGTTCTCATGGTTTTATCTTTATGGTAGCACCCCGTTGCGTGTTGTACGATAGCGTACATGGTACCTTCTGCACAACAATACGTGTATATTACTTGTTTACTCATGGAGCTGGGCCCTTCTGGAGGAGCCACCAATTCTGCAGCTACTCAAGAATTTCCCAGCATTTTATGGAACCCAAAGGTTCATTACCGTGTTCACAAGAGCCCTCCACTGGTCCCTATCCTGAGCCAGATCAATCCAACAATAATATCTACAGAATGAAAAACAAAATAGATACTAACGTATCAACATTTGTTTGTTATTATTATTATTTGTTATACAAAGGTGTTGCGCTACATGTTTCGACCTTTCCTAGGTCATCATCAGGCGAGTCACAAAAATATCAAACTGTTCTTAAATTGTGTTACCTAAATATGGACCCATATATTGCAAATTCGGTTTTTGTTTTTAATAGCAAATACGCCTTTGTAAAACGTAACTTAAAAATACACCCAAAAACTCTGCTAATACGGGTTGTATCTAAGTTTAAGATTCTTTAAGCCTATATATATATATTATAATTTGTATTTTCATGCCATATGCCCTTGAAATAAAATTCAATTAAAAAGATTCTAAAAACTTGTTCTGTATAAATCCCTACTCTATTTATGTGTTGGTTCATGGGTTAGCTCTAAATAGGCTTAAAATTGATCTTAGAACTAAAAGTGACTTTTTAGTGTCGTCAGTATAATCGTAGATGTTGGCTGATGAAACCATGGGACCATGCAAAGTGAGGGGGTCCGTCTTCAGATCTCTGTCGTGTTGATTAGTTTTCACGCTTAACGTAGAGAATAGGTCTTAGGGCACTGACGCTATTTAGCCATGTCAATGGCATCAATGTATTGGATGCAATTCAGTTTTTTATTTATTTACGTGCCATTTAAATAAAACAAAGGGCAAAAGCAAAAGAAGTAAACAAAACACACACACACATAAAGAAAAGGGAACACAAGGCAACTTGCATTAATATGTTGTGTTCAGGCATATACATATATGTATTATGACGTGTATGAGTGACTAAAGAAGGGGTTTAGATTTGTGATTGGATTTACTGGCCACTTATGCAAACAACTCTTAACTACAAGTAACCATAACAGCCTAAGTACACTGTAACTACAGCACACACATATTCTTCTGTCTTCACTAGTCATTTCGTGGTAACGAATCTTAACCATGTCCTCTACTAACGTCCTCATCAGCTGGCGAACATCTCACAACTAACTAAACTCAAGGTCAAAGTCAAAGTCAAAGTTGCTGTATGACTAGCGGTTTACCGTCAGTAAGTTCATCTTGGAGCCAGGCCCCTTGAGGATCACGACCAGAGATTTCTTCTTCAACTGAACTCTTGCGGTAATAGTCCTTATGTAACACCCTCTCTGACGAGAAGATGGGTTTGTCTCTTATGAATATGTTTGGGCTTTCGTCAATGTATGCACCACACATGTAGCATGTTATTGAAAATTCCTCCTCTCGCACTGTACACAAGTGCTCTGTCTGCCCAGGCTTTGAAAAGCAGAACATGCCAGCTTAATCACTTGAACGGTCAAAAGCTTGACCTCCACCGTAGCCCTGCGAGGCGAAAAGATGACGGGAAAGGAACCCAGTGCCTGGGGGGTGTAACCGGGCCATCCTGATCCGGGGGGGATATAAATACGGGGACCTGGCTCTCCCGGTTGGTGTCTGGAATCTGAGATTTCCGCGGGACTCCGATTCGAGAATGACTGCGCTGGCGAGAACCAGCAGCAATTGTAAACAAATTACCGCAAGGGTTCAGTTGAAAAAAAAACTATGATCATGATCCTCAAGGTGCTTGACGCCAAGATGAACTGATTGGTTGTAAAACGCCAGTCTTAAAGTACTAACTCTGACTCTGACTCTGACTCTGACTCTGACTAGAATCAGAATTGAGGGAGTCTCTTGAGATGGCAAGAAAGGGATTAGACTTCATGTGTGCTGCAGTGACAGTGAGACGGTTATAAATCCGTTGCCAGGATACGACTAATGAAGACTAACAGTACACTAATGCGTGTGTAACGGTGAAGTGTGTAGATCAGCGATAGCGCTGTATTACTAGTAGCTCCGAGTGGTATGTATAAGGTGTCAATAAATCCAATCGAAAACCCCGCCTAATAATCACAACACTAAAACATGACAATATTTACCATTGTTTCCTAGAAGTAACTGCCTCCTTCTTCAAGGTATTCTGTGAAGAGATGTGTACTTAGCAGAGTTAGTTGAACGTAGCTAACCTTCATCAGCAGGATCAATAAAGGAATTTACATTTGGAATCAGACAATTGGTAAATTCCAAAGCAGGTTTCATAACAATAGGTACTTCTAAAATAGTGACAGCCATATTGTTTTTGAAAGGGTTGTATTTTTTTTATGAAGGACATTTAAAAATTTTATTTTTAGATGCGAGACGATGTACGGCGCTTCTTGCCAGCTGTCGTTAGTTAAACTTTCATGTTTGTTTGCCTCTGAGAAGCTGTGGTGCCTCTTCTGCTTCTGTCCCATCAAGATGCTAAAAGTGAGGGCTTAAGCTTCTGACGGCAGTCGCTGCAGGCATCCGGAATGGCTCAGTCGGTACGGCGATGAATTAGGGGCCGGACGGCCACTGGCAAGATTCTTCCCGTCTCTACAGCGTCCAGACCGGCTCTGGGGCCCTACCTCGGGGATCTATCGCTGGGGGTAAAGCGGCAGAGGCTTGAAGCTCACCACGCACCTCCACCTAGTGCCGAGATCAGGACTGCACTACACCATACGTCTTCATGACCCGGTGCTTAACCAAGAAGGACTTCACCCGTTTACAGGGATCACTAAAAACAGTCCTGTTTTCTGGGTTGTGAGGCCGTGTATTCTGTTATATGCTTACAGACGTTTCGGAGAAACGCACTGTCTCAGTCTTGAGAGTAGAAGAGGGCACAGTAGCATCTCAATAGATGATAAATATGAGAAATTTGAGGTTATGATGGCTATGACTCTTTGATTGCTATCTTCAGGGATGCTGCGCCGTCTAGGC